TACTATCTACTTTTGACAGTAGATCATGGATTCCTGTAACAAATATACTTCTCCGTTTGTGCAAAGGTTCAGGCTTTGGATCATCAAAACGTGGAGAATCATCTTCCTCTTCATCAGTTATATATCAGGTGATTTGATGATAGTTCATCTTTGTCTACACAGTTAACATTCTGTCTTGCTTAGCCATTGAGAGTAACTTGTAGATCTAACTCTTGTTCTTGTTAATGTGAAGAAATTATTGCGAGAGGTTTGCTTGCATGATGAAGAACTATTTTCTACCTTTCTGAATCATTTGTTCAACACTCTGAGTTGGGCAATGACGGAATTTTCAGTTTCAGTTCGCGAGATGCAGGAAAGTTACAAGGTATTGTTCCTTTTAACGTCTATTATCCTTCTATGTTTGGATCAATGAGGGAGAAGGAAGCCAAAAAGGGTACAGCTAATTGATTAATCGTTTATCTATGGTTGTTTTGTAGTACTGCTAAGTGCTATGTACACCTTAAAGAGGTTCTTTTTTTATTGTCCAATTTCAGAGTTCAGAAAAGTTATTATGCATACTCTTTTAACCAAACAAAGGGAATTATGTTTGCCTTCTACTTTTACTTTCCCCCTTCCCCATTATTCTCTTTTCAACTGACCACACAGGACATTTCTGTTTTTGACTTGCAATATCATTTTGTTGTACGTCATTTCTAATTTTCCGATGGTAATAACTTTTGTTACGGATTTGCTTATAATATGTTTGAGAGGTTATGCTCCATATTACAGAATAGATTGGCAAAATAAAATGTTTTACACCCTGCATATTTTATTTACCTCCAGAAATGCTTTTTTTAAAGTATACATTCTAGTGAATTGCGTGTGATGATATTCTGATAATGTTTTCTTTTGTCAAGTCCTTGAGTAGAATACTGATCTGTAAAAAATAAAGCATATCCTCGTGAAAATAAAAAAAATAAACTTAATTTTCTTTTCATCCAGCTTGGAGTTTCTACCTATTTTGTACTAGTTATAGGTAGTATCTTGGTTTTTTGGGGTGCCGGTGTTGAATATCTTAACTGAGGGTGACTTTGGGTACTGTCTTGCAAAGGTGAAATAGTAGTTTATGGGATTGCGGGAATCTTTTGTTGTTTTCTTTTCTGATGTGTATTGAAATGTTTATGTGCCTTTCCAGGTGTTGGAGTTTCAGCAAAGGAAATGCAGTGTCATATTTGATCTATCCTGCAATCTTGCAAGGATTTTAGAATTTTGTACCCATGAGATACCTCAAGCGTTTATCTCTGGGGCAGATACAAATTTGCGAAGGCTGACTGAAGTGATCGTCTTTATACTAAACCACTTAATTTCTGCAGCTGATCAAGAACTTTTTGACCTGTAAGTTTTGATATTTATGTGGAATAGCTTTTTGCGTTTCCTTTTTTCTTTTTGGTTTGTTCTGTACTTTTAGAGTGAGAGAGTGTCAAGTCAAATCTGCTTATTTCTTCCGTGTCCGACACAACCGAAGACCAATGGTATTCCAATTGATAAAAGATCTATTCTCCAGTCGAGTTGAGCTGATCCTTATGAGGTCCTCTTTTCTTTTGAATATGCCTCACGTTTAACTATAAACTGGCATCCACTATCTTAGTGACGATACTGATGCTTTTATTCTGTTAATAGTGAAACCCCCATGTTCTGATGTTAAATTTTTTTGTTGTGGTTTATCATTCCCCAGACTGTTATTTCTTTAGTGTTGAATCAAAGCCCTATCTGCCAAGTAAGGAGATCAATATTAGGAGAAAGAAGACCGAAACCTGATATTTCTGAAAAAAGAAAAGATTTTTAATCGACGGACTTGCATTCACCAAAAATTGTGAGCTTGCATTCTCTTTATCTATGTGTGTGCAACACACTTATTCCGTGCATGATCAGAATTTTAGTTGGTACTTGCTTTTCTTTTCACCATTGCTTGATATTTGTTTGTAACAAGGACGTATTGAGTCCTTTTTGTGTATGTGTGTTTGTGTGAGTCTTGGTTCCTCCTTATTTGGGTCTTCAGTTGTCATTCTTGCAGTTTCGTAAGACGTCCAGGTCAGCCCCCAGAGAAACCAAACAGAGGCATGATTTTGGCACCCCTTGCTGGAATCATTCTTAATTTGCTGGAGGCTAGCGGGGAGTCGGATACTAGAGATAATGACATGGTTGGGATTTTTGCCAGCATGGACTGCCCTGATACTGTAGTCTCTGGGTTTCAGTATCTTTTGGAGTACAATTGGGTTAGTCTTTACTTCACTTCATTAATTTGGTAGTACTACTTCCTATTTTAGAATGGCATGGAAAATTGGTTTACAGCAAAGAAAATTGTCATGGGTACTCTGGTTATTTAGACTTGGCAATAAGAAAGCTGAACGCTGGTTGACTGGTTTGGTTCAGTTGCTGTTTTTGACGTCTGCCTATATGTGCTAATGTTGTTTGGAAAGGGTTCCAATAGTTAATTGCTCTTTGGTTGCTTCATCTGTATTTTAACTCTGTTTTCATGAATTTCAGGCTAGTTTATTCAGAGGAGATGATTATCTGGAAAAAATCAGGCAACTGGAGATATTTTCAGGTCTGCTTATCTGTCGTTCAGAGGTAGTGGAAGTTGAGAGAATAGCCTATGGGGGTGAAACAGATTATGATGACAGTATCTGCTGCATCTGTTATACGAGTCAAGCAAATGCTCAATTTGTCCCTTGTTCGCACGTTTCTTGCTTCGGCTGCATTTCAAGACACCTTCTGAACGGTGAGAGGTGCTTCTTTTGCAATGCAACTGTTCTAGAAGTTATCAAGACTGATGCAAATGCAGATCAAGGACATTTCTCAAATTTGGAAGAGTAAAGTTGGAGTGGGGGTCACCTTTCTCTTTTTTTCCTGGTGACTGGTGAATGAAAACAGTGGTTAGACATAGGCTAGTACTCGGTTGTCAGCTGAGGGTTCTGAGCTGTGAATTTAGGTCTCGACAAGACCCTTAGAGATGCAATGCAAGAAAGATTGTTATAAAAGGCGAATACTTTTCAGTTAAGTTATTATTAGGGATTACAACTAGAATAGAAGGCATAAGCTTTGTTTAAATTACCAGAGTAGGTGGGATGGGGAAGGCAGCATCTCTCTGGCTAAAAAGTTTTTGTAGTGGAGGCAAGGGCATTGTTTTGTGAATATATGAGGTGTCAATTTGAAGAAAGACTTGTTCTTCTGCTCAATCTTCTTTTGTTTTTACGGCGTTGCTTTGTGAGATGATGTGCATTTTATGAGAGAGACCTACCAAGCGTAGAGAAGCTAAAGAGACATAGTTTTGTTAGTAATTTTTATCTACCTATGCTTCTTTGTAATACCTGTTTTAGCAGCAAAGGTTGATATCAGAATAAGTTGAACAACCAAACTGGATTGTGAAACCTTGTGGATAATCTGCAGAACAAAATGTAACCATGCAAATGTTTCCCCCTCCCACCTCAACTTTTACTTCAACCATAGAAATTCTTCGATGGGTCTGTTCTCTTTTTGGACAAAAAACTTAGGCCGAAGAAGTATTGGGGAGAGGTGATTAGGTAGGACACACATGTGACAACTTTATAGCCTTAGATAGGAGGGTGCGTAGAACATATATTAATTAGAATAGTGAAGTGTTGTTTTGCTTTTCGAAGGTTAAAACTTGTTAGTGTTTGTCGTTGTTCTTGTTCCTTTCTTATTCGAGTTGATTGTTATTATGAATTTAACCAAAAAAAAAAAAAAAAGCTGGATCCAGTAATTCGTTTCTTATTCGAGTTGATTGTTACAATGAATTCAACAAAAAATGGATCCAGTAATTCGGGAGTTTTGAACCCGACGTGAATCGAACACGCAACCTTCTGATCTGGAGTCAGACGCGCTACCATTGCGCCACGGATCCTGGATGTAACTATGTAGAGATCACCGGTGTCCTACTCGAGACAAAGTACTTGTCGTCCCCAAACCAAAAGGGATGAGGGAAAAAGGCTCGAGAAAGCGTCCTTGGAAGGGGGAATATCTGAAAAAGTGTTAGCGGGGAGCCCATCCCTCTCGTTCTTACAGAAGACATAAGGGGGAATACACGACGGTGAACTAAACGCAATATATATAACTACTAATCTATTTTGCACCATCCTGATATGGTTGTCACAAATTATATTACTTCCTTTTCCCAATTTGTGTTATAATTTTCGTTTTTCGAAAATTCGACCGTTTAACTTTGATCGAAAATTTACTCATAAAATCTATATATTTATAAATCACGTAAAAAGTGCTATAAATCATCACAATAACTGATACAAAATGCTTAAAGGATTTATGAGAAAAATTTATATGAATAATCCGTTTAATTTACAGTCAAAGATAGACTTGTTTGAAATACGAAATGTAAAAAATATTAAATAAAAAGAAACGAAAAGTAACAAAAACCAATATAATTTATTCAAATACTATATTTATTAAAATAATATAATACGATACAAATAATACAATACTATATTATACTATATAGTTATAACATAGTATAATGAACAAAGTGTAGAGAAAAAATCTTCTGCAGTCTAGTGGTTGACCTACATATAACCTGCTAAATCATCACAATATTATCAAAGAATAGAATCATACATACTTAGACCAAGTCTTAAATGACACATTTGTCTTTTTAATCACTCAACTGCCACCGTACTAGTGACACTAACGCATCTTTATTTTTTAAATTGTCCTAAAACACACAAATTTTTATTTTGAATTTTTTATTACAAAACAAATCTCTTCTAGCTCAATTATGAAAGTTAGGATCGATCGAAAAATTCATTTTATGTGTGAATCATATTTTATCTCATTTCGACATAATAACTTATAATTAAATTACACAAAATATTAATCTACGCTAGATAGATTCTATACGACGAACTGCCTTCTTTTAAGGTACAACATTGAAAAAACAAGAGGAGAAAGGGAGGTGATAGAAAATCCATTAAAACGTAATCAATTTAATATTTAACTCCAAATAAAATTAGTGGATAGATAAGAACATTAGATAAGAACATCCTTTTTACACTAGAAATATTCAACAGAAACGTCTCAGATCTATTATTGTTGGCTAAAATAACAAAGAGTATATATATATTCAGAGACTTAAAAAGAAAAAACTAAATAATTAGTAAGAAGAATAATTTGTTTGAGCACCTCCTCCAGATTGGACTGGTGGCCTTGGAGGGCTTCTTCCTCTACTTGAGTTACTCACACTTATAGACCTTGTTGTCATGTACTCAATATTTTCCTGCATCAATAATTTAATATTACAACGAGGAACACTGTTCAACTAAACTCAATATTTTAAGTTTAATCTTAATTATTGAAAATTTAAATCTTAAATTCGCCTCATCGATCGAGATTAAGTAATAAGTACCATAGATGAGATATCTTCTTCTTGGTGAGAGTATGTGGAGGCAACAAAGTTGGAGATGTGGTTATTGCCATATCCAAAAAAGTTTAGTGTGGATTTAATCAATTTCTCAAAAATATTGCAAGGATTTTCTCCCATTTTTTCTTCTTTTTTAATGATGGTAACTTCTTCTTTCAAAACACAATGTCTGTATATGGTATTGGATGAGGTTATTATTTTTGTTTTGGGGGTGGGTGTATATTTTTATGTTTTAACATATGTAGTGTTACGAAAATTGGGAACATTTGTTAGGTTTATGAAACGTGTCTCCGACTCATGACATACTACAATACACACTAAATTCCACGGGCCGCTGACGTTACACTTTTAGCCGCTTTATTTTTAACGGACGTTACACTTTTAAAAACGCTCTTTATTTGATAAATTAAACTTAAATATATCCTAATTTTATAGTATAAATGAAGTATATCCTAAACAGATTTAAAGGTACTTTTCACATTTCTCTTGTTTTTTTATTAAGAGTATCATGCTTCTACAAGAATTTAAGATCACTTGATGATGATATAACATGTAAAAGATTACGAATATATTATTTAAATTGAATTAATTAAATAAAAAATTATTTTTAAAACTATCAATAGTTTAGAAATGAACCAACAATGAAAAAATTCACAAAACTCAATGAGTAAGGAATAGAGAAAATAATTTCAGTTAATATTAAATAGAGAAAATACAATTAATTAATATAAAAGTTAATATTATTGGCGTACGAAGCACGGGCTACCGTAACTAGTCATCTCATGTGAAGATACGCCAAGAAACAACTCGATTATTTAAGAAACAACTGGATTATTTAAATTAGATTTGTTAATATGGGCTAGCCTATTTTATTGGAATTAACTCATATAATTTTTGATATTTTAAGGATTAGATTGGACTAGTCTATTTTTTGTATGGGTCAGAAAACGATTGGTCCAACTCACAAATACGTGGGCTACAGGCTTGCCGGGCCAGTTTACTTTTTTTAAAAATTATTATTTTTAATAATTATTAAATTAAATTATAAATTATAATAAAAAATTATTATCGTAAATATCGACAAAACAATATTGCATGATTTAATGTCACTACTCGTTAGTCAAATCTACAAATATATTATCTTTATAATATTAATTAAAAAAAATTCAAATAAAAATATAAATATCTAAATAGAAATATTAACCTAATTGTTTTGAGTGGATTCTCTTTTATTTTAAACTAATATACGCATTTGTTCTTATTACTTGTTCAATTTTGACCTGGTACAACTATTATGAAGATAATAATTGAAATACTAAGTTTATCATTTGATTAAGATTAATTGATAAAAAAAATCATCATTAATTTACTCATTAAAAGTTTTTATCCTTTTCAAAAATATTTAGTTATGCAGGAATTGAAAGTGCTGAAATTAGTAATAAATACTTCTAAAAATCGGTAAATCACGAACAAGAAGAAGATGAAATGGGAACGTATAAGTTAAAAGTTATATTACCGAAGGTTAGTAATCAGAGGAATTGAGGATAATAAAATGATTGAAAAATTTTAAAATCTGTTCGTTCTTTATTATTATTATTATTATTATTAATAATAATAATAATAATAATAATAATAATAATAATAATAATAATAGGGAAGTGGATGCACCTGCTTTTTTTTAAATGCAAGAAAAAGGCATGTGTGAATATATATTACTCCAATACTCCTATTAGGGGTCGCTTGCCGTTTAAGTTAAATAATAATGTCACTCAATTTATTAAAGTATTTTGTTGGTAAGTACTTTAAAATTAATAATTTGTATCCAGATAAATTATTACTTTGTTAATTTAGGCAATATAATAATTTTAAAATATAATAAGTAAATGATAAGAATATCTTTATAAACCTTATTTATAATCATTACTTTTACATTTACGATGCGCATTTTTATAAAAAATTTAAAATTTTATGTAAGACATATTATTTCAATTACAACAAATTAAATACACAATAAAAATGAATTTCAACATAACTTGTCCCATCATAATTAATCTCATCTATATATCCTCCCATTTAGTATTATATTAGATTAGATACATTTACATGATTTTGAAATATTTTAAGTGGTTAGATATTGTAATTTATAGTAATTCAAATAACATATGTTACTGTGTCAATTTATGTAACACTTAAAAATTTGAGAGTCAATCGAAGTTTTAATGTACTTTTAAAAATATTTTAAACAAGTGAATTCAGCCGCGCTTCGCGCGGTCATAATAACTCGTTAAATTCACTAACTAACTTTTTAGAATAGTTGAGTACTTAAAATATTTTATATATTTTCCATAGTGACATCTTAACGATTAAA